AGAACGATAGGTAACATGCTGATGAAAAAAATGTTGGTCCTTGTCATTTTGTCACTTTCGGTCAATGACATTCTCTGAACTTTACGAACTTCACTGAAGATCCTTTTACAATCCCTGTTATTAAAACCTTCGACGTGAGCACCACAGATTACCTCACAAAGTACGCTCTATCTTAAAAGACAGGTTCATTTTCCCCTTCGATTGACCTTCATACCTCACCAAGGTGAAATGAAGTAATTCGGAACTAATTCGTAAAACACGCCGTTGTGGCATGATATTGAACGAGTCCTCAGAGGTTGCGTTCGCTGATAGTCACGGGCTAAATTTGACGGGCCATGATCTAGGTAAGCGGCCTTAAAGAGATGCTTCACACTTGAAGCAATCATCACACATGATGAAATCACGTCACTTACAACCACTGGCATACTTTTTGTATGATAAAGATTGTTCCAGACGGGACAATTATTTCTTATGTAAATATGCTTTTCACTGCGCAATCGTTTGGTTACGTCACGATTTATTACACAACATTGATTGAGCGCCGATTGACGGCCATTATGCCTAGAAACACGCTCACAAGCGCCCGATATAAGCGCCTCGACAACTATATTTGTTTTGGCCTTGATTGCCATATGGCTTATAGACCAAATACAATTTGAATGACGCTCTTACCACGTCGTGAATGAGACGGTGGCTTGGAAATACTGAGTTTGATTTCAAATAAAATGACTCTTTCCGGACCCCAGGGTATTGCGGTACGGTAAGCTTCCGCCGTTAAATTCAGCCTTTGCCCTGACTTTGCGCGATCGGAGCATGAAGGTCAGTGCTAAGCCAACAAACACCACTTAGCGTGAGTTCTGATTTCAGAAATCCATCGATTGAAAAGCTTTACATAAAATCTTAGAAGTGTTAAACAACGTAAACCTAAGTTTTATACCAAATGATTCGCTATTTAATTGCCAACTGCAATGCAAAATTTGGCGTTGCAGTGTAGCGGTAAGCTTTCCGAATCTTGTCTCGGAAGCCATCAGCAACTCCTATTTTTTACACTTTTTGATTTTTTTGGAACTTTTGAGAACTCCTTTCAAAAAACTTTGAAAAGTGCTTTTCAGCGTTATAAAAATTTGGAAAACCAATTCGTTCAAAATGTCTGCAAACTCCAACAAAGGCTTGCACCGAAATGCATCTGCTTTGACAACGAGATTTTGGTTTGTCAGGAATGTGCTTGTTAACAGTTCGTGACAACCAGATATGTTCTAAAAAACATTTTGTTGTCTATTTCCCTCACTTGTCAGCAAGTAACGTCAGCACATATTTTTATGTATACTGAGAATGAAAGCAAAAAACTGTTGACATTTAGTTGATTCAGACTTGCCTTCCTCCAAAGCAATGACATCCCATTTGTAGTTAATAAGAACTACCGGCTTTCCACGATGCTTAGAACAGACACTAAGTCACAGAAAAGAATCTTAGCAAGAGTTAATGGGTAATGGACCACGAATGACCAGCGCGTGTGCTAATCTTGTTGCTGACCGAATACTAACTGCTACGGTACAGTACGAAGGTAAAACCAAACATTACAGAATCGAGAGGACTAAACAGCCTCCGCGCTCGCCCGCGCCACCCAAGCGGACCGCCGCCGCCGCCGTCAGCCCGCCAATTTTGATTTGTCAAAAGACTTGGATTTTGGTTTGTCAGGAATGTGCATGTTGAAAGTTTGTGATAACCAGATATGTTCAAAAAAATCCACTTTGGTGTCTATCTCCCTCACTTGTCAGCAAGTAACGTCAGCACATATTTTTATGTATACTCAGAATGAAAGCAAAGAACGGTTGTCATTCAGTTGAGTCAGACTTGCCTCCCTCCAAAGGAATGACACCAGCGCCGGCAACAATGCATCTCGTGCTGCACAGCTCGTGCGGCTCTCGTGAGTACGCGCCGGGCACCTCCTCCCCGCGCGGCCGCACAAAACTGAAACATGCATTAGCTTCTAGTAAGGCCACTCGCGATTTTCAAAGCTGCCAACTTTTGAAGTTAGCTGTTCTTGATCAAAATCCGAACCGTATTATTTCAAAAACGTGTCAAACATTTGCCGGGCGGCTTAAAATGTAAAGCGGGTAGCGTGACAACCCATTAGGTACCTAGACCACGATGAGTGGTGTACGATATACATGATGGCATTAGTAACGCGTTTAGGAAACTGCAACATGTACCAATTAGACAAGATAGCTGATGTATCGTTATTTGGCCAAGTATTCCCTCTTTCCTCATTGGCATTCCAAGGATGAAAGGAGTATTGTGAGGTGAAACGGGGAGGCTCATGTCAGCATTAGTTGCATCGGTCATTCCGAAAGTATATAATAAGTGACACCCCTGGCTGCACCCTTTTCTCCCTCCTTGTCCTAACTTAATAAATTGCGACTCTCACTGATGTTACAGCGCGCACGAGCATTTGCATCCGGTTCGGCCACACAGCACTGATTTCAAATCCCCGCTTCTCATTGGGAGGTTTAAACGGCCTCGGCCGTGACGTGCCGCAGTTCTCGAACCGTTAACCGCCGCATTTGACTTCCGTTTCTATTCCGGCGCTCCGACCCGTGTATGTTTTATCCGTGCAAGGCTGAATCTGCTGAGCTTGGAATCTACTCTCGATATTTGAAACAGCGCACGTGGTTGTTGAATGCTGCTGATGGATGCTGCGGAGTTTTCGAATGAGAAGGAAGTGATGCATTGGGTCAGTGGAGAGCGGAATGCTGAGACATCCTTGCTTTTCCTGCCAACGGAAATTTTGGAACATATCTTGTGTTTCCTGAGCGTAGAAGATCTTGCTTCTGTGTCACAAGTGTGCAAGAGGCTTAATGATGTCCATACTTCAGAGAAAGTATGGAAGTTTGGATTTAAGTCCAGGTGAGTTCCTGCTCTTAAAATGTCAGATTGCTGAAAAGGTGATTTTTGCTGCTAGCTGTAATCCAGTCTTACTACAGCTGGCATGTAAAAATTATTGCGAGATGGGATGTGATCACACCAATTTTGTAAATGTACATATATTTTAGATGTGTGTATGCACCCATGGATGCATATTTCTGACTTCAGACAGTGCCAACTACTGTAGCAATTCAGCCAGCGGTTGCAAATAGCGTACCCTCATTACATTCAGCTGACTGGCTGTGTGATGCACCTGCTGACAAATGTATGTCAACTTTCATGCCCTTTTTGTACTTCTGCTGTACACTGATTTCTAAGTTGTTTCTGGAGATTGTTTGACCATTTTAGAAGAAATTGAATGCTTGTCCATACACCAATCAAAGTGGCCTAAAGTTTGATGTATAATATGTTATTCTTCACATGGCCTATCAATACCTGTAGTTTTGGATTGGGATGATGATTTCCTGAAAGCAGATGATGATATCAGGGAGAAGTATGTTTTGCACTTACCCTCTGTAAAGCTCACATAAAACATGAAGTTTAGATGTACAACATATTGTTATTAGGCACTGCATACCTTGAATTTGGTGTATGGAAATGCAGTGCAGCTGATAAGTATGTGGTTAAGTCCATTTATCAAATTACAAAGGGGGGCAGACAGCTGATCAAAGCTTTCCTTGCAAATCATCCTCATGAACCTCATTTGGAACATCTTTGGTTGAATTTTACATGGCATTATCATGCTATTCTGCTTAGATGGGAAGGGTTTCATGATAACTTTTCATTGCAGATGCATTTTGTGCTAAATTGTCTCAGTAAGCAAGACCTGAACTATATGCAACCAATGCCAGTAACAGAGATGACATTTTGAACAAAAGATAAAGAGTGTTGGTGATGACTTTGGTAAATGATGGTCCACCTAAAAAAATTGTTAGTGTCTTGCCACTGCTACTGTGTTTTAAAAGGCTCTTATCCTGTCTTTTCCATTCAACCATATGCAGAGAGTGTGAGGTGTTGATAGATGTCATTTGTTGCTCTGAAATTCTGACTGTAGGATATGAAGTGTTCTTCTAATTTATTGTAGTGCCAAACTATGCCCTGGGACATTTTATGCAAGTTAGTTTTAACAAGTTCAGAAACCAGTGCTGCAGGGGACAGAGCCTAGTGCCAGAAATTAGGCAGCTCTTTGCTAATTCAGTGATGGTGGTATATCATCTTGTAACCCATATAGTGATATACTTTATGGTGGTAAATGCAAAGAACTGAGTGTCTTTAGGTCAGTGGTTCATGGACAACCAACAGTTGTTATTTGATCTCCATTTTGTTGATACACAGCATTTTCCAGCAATCCTTTATTTCCATCTCTCAAATGGTGATTAGCATCTTAAAGAAACTTAGCATTGGTCTTGTATCAATAGCACACCACAAAAGAACTGATGCATGACACCAGTAGTGGACGGCTGTCCTACTAAAAGAAATTCAGCTGTATTTGGTATCATAATTAAAAGTGGTCAAGAGCAACCCATCTTTTTCACATTACCACCAAAAATTGGAGTTCCTATGCTTTAAACAACTGTTGATTTATGGGCGTCTCCTTTATTCAGCCCTATCCAAGTGGAACCAAAGGTCTCAAGAAATATGACAATGTTGATCATGTTGTTACTGACCAGTTGCAGTGATGGTATGGCGAGGAAAATGTGGCGTGCATGGTGGTGTGCGTCACGTTTGATTCCATATGCGGACTTAATATGTCATTGATTGAATCGCGCTCGCTGTGCCCAATGTTTTGACCAAGACTATTGAGCTAGGCGTGATATTTAGGCAGGTCTTCCACCCAAGAGACCTCCCAACGTGCCGATTTGCGTCAGTCGTGACCTTGTGTTCTTGTTTCGCAGGTACCCGCGCTTGTTGCAGCCCTCGTGCCGACCTGCCCTGCTGCGCGTGTTTGAGCGGTGCGGCCGCAGCTGGCGGCGTACTGCGAGGTTCCGCGCCTCGGCTGGCCACCACCTGCGCACGGCCCTAGCCAAGACGGCCGACAGATGCTACTCAGTCCGACTGCCTGCCGGACCCCGCCTATGGAAGAGTTCCGCAAGCTGGTGCCCGTCCATGGTACCCTGTTGAATCGGGATGCGCTACTGGAGGTCATCTATCCCCGCCAACACTGTCCGTAAGTTGGATCACACTGTCGGGGTGGTCTGGTGTCATGCAGTGTGCTCAGCTGTATGCAATTTGTCAACCATAAATTCTTAGTCACATAGGCACTGCACGTGTTATGTACTTCGTGTAATCCTTCACGTGCCCTTTGCCATGTGAATGCTGATGAAAGAGATCATCCAGAGTCTTAAGTATTCATTGTTCTAAATTTTTGGTCTTAAACTACGGAGCTTCTCATACTTCTGACAGTTGGGCCATATTGAGCAACGGTGGCCATTTCTCAAGGAGCGTGATGGTGTCTCTTGTCGCTCTGTCCCGCTTTCCCCTTAGTTTGGAATGACAATCTTATCCCTGACATTTTGTGGGACAGAACCAAGACTGGATCAAGGGCTCACTCCAGTGTCACTACCCTGTCTTCCTCTAGGCTTACCTTCTGTTGTCGTGATGGTATGGCGAGGCGTATCTTAAGGCGTATCTATGGCGTATCTTAACAGCTTGCTAGTATCGTACGTACCGGGCTGCTCGGTCCAGTACCTTGGTTTATTCCCCACCACTACCTTCATGCTTTTTTCATATGCTCTGCTATCACCTAAGTAATCTGCAGACCGAACCAGACTATTCGCTCCAGAAATTTTACTCATTGACTTATATATAAGCATCCGACATCACAACTGGTCTGCGCAGTGGACAGTTCGCTCGAGAAGATAATTCGCTCGAGAAGTTTTACTCATTGACTTATATATAAGCATCCGACATCACAACTGGTCTCCGGAGTGGACAGATGCTGTGTTAGGCATATGTGTAATTCGAGCCTTCTTTGGCAGGGATGATGACCTGTCTCTGCGCTACTATGCGCGGATGCTGTTCCGCGAGATCCAGCGAGACGTCGTGCTGCTGCCCATGTTCCGGGAGTACATGCAGCGCCCAGCGCAGCATGTAAACGTGCCCGAAGCCTTTTATCTGATGAGCCTCTGGATGGTCCCGGAGCAAACCAACAACCGAGAGTCCAGTCTTAAGGCGTGAGTCTCTCATCTTCTTACCAGATGCTCAATCTCCATGCGGAAATTCAAGATTTGGCACGACCATGTTCTGCCAGCTCGACTGTGTTTCTAATGTATATGTAGCTCTTCCTGATGGGCACAAGTATGCAACTAATCTCACAGCCGTTTTCTGTGTTTATTTGTGCCGATGGTAGCTGACTGCAGGCTGTCTGTTACCTACGCTTATGGAATTTTTCATGTTGTCGCTCTGCACAGAAATGCCACACCGCGCTGTGTTTTTACTACAGATGCATCAACAGGACTTGATGCATGGTGTAGCAAATAGCTAGGTCAAACTTAGTATGCCAATGTCATCGTGGTTTTCGCCAGAGGAACGCGATACAAGGCACTTATCTCACATATTGATAAAGTCTTTACGTTGCAACATTCGTCTCCATCTTCCCCCCCCCCCCCCCCCCCCCCCCGTGAACAAAGACGACCTTTCATGTGTACATGCGAGCGTTGACACGGCGTGGTTTTACAGCTGCTACATCAAGGTCGCCGGCCTGGTTTTGGACGAGCTGCGTCGGAAGCTCCCGGAGCACCCGGCCGCCGCCTGGGATACGTGCAAAAAGAACCCGTTCGGACCTACGCTGTGGACGGATGACCAGACACTGATGCTCTTGGACGTGCTGAACATCGTGCTGTATGACAGCTTGCCCTAATGAAGGATGAAGAGCCAGCGGACGCACCGGCTGCCGAGCTGAACACACTGGTGAGTGTACTGCAGTAAATATTTATCAATGTTTCCTGGACGTTGAAGTAGGTGAAATCACACACAGGACATGCGCAGGCTTCTCTTTCTGATCTATTTTCCCTGATGTTGTTTTCGGTGCGGGGCTATGAATTGCGAAGCATAATGTCAGCCATGCGTTTCCGCCGGTTTGTCGTAAGGTTCATTATGCGGCTCCTGTCAGATGGCATAACACCGAACACCCTGTTGCGATGTCTGCACAGTCTAGAATCCAGAGTCTCCGTGAAAATTGTTGACTTTGACGATTGACCATGGTAGTCATGATAAAATGCTCGTCAATGTGGTCGTTACTAATAGGTGATGTTTGATTTGAGTAAGTGTGATATCCGTTTTACAATCTATTGCTGGCTCTGTGACTGAATGGTGTGATGGACTGTTTGCTCTCGTTGTGTGGAAGTTACTACTGTTGCCCGCAGCACAATGCATTAAATGGTTTACTATTTCCTTTTTCAGGTGCTCTACCTTCGTCGCCACCTCCACTGTGCCGGCTCCGGGACGCAGACTGTAATGGGGACGGTCTACTCCTCGGTAGCTGGCATGCTGGGTGTCAACCTCCACAACGTGCAGTTCCCGCATAGCTCGATGATCTGCTGGCACCGAACGTGAGCATGGTCGCAAGGGGCGTGGGGAATGGGTCTTCTTGCACCATTGACGCTAAATAGACAGACTGGCTGCTCAAGTCATGTCTTTTTGGGTGTTACTGCTTTCACGGCGTGCATCTATCCACCAGTTTTTGTAGTCACTTGATGCCAAAGAAATTGATGCATTTTTCATGATAAATGGTGCATTTTGATACGTTTGTTTCTTGCAACAAAGGCATTTATTATTGAAATCAGCGTTGGTAAACGCATCACTTCTCTTTTCCTTAAAAGAAAGTTTCAAATTCACCGTTTTATTTGGTGCTATAAAATTTTCTTCGGAGCGATTGGTCACTGCGATACGGAGGAATTAATCCAAAGTAATGGCGTGGTGTTACGCATGATTTGTATGTAATGACGTTGATCATTTCCTTAAAACTAAGTATTCATTTCCTAACTATAACATCCAAATTGTGTGAAGCCAATCGCATTGATGCACGATGTGTTGTCGTTTTGTGCAAACGCAGCAATTGTGCACTGACTGTGTTTGTGTTGTTTAGTCTTGTCTAGTTTGCCTTTTTATAAATTTGTTTATGTGCCTTTTTCTTTGTGACTGAAGTTGTCTGTTACACAGTGATGTAATGCAATTTATATGACGCATTTATAAATGCATGCAGTTCATTGTGCACGATGTCTTGACGTGCTGCTCCTCACGCAGGGACAGTGAAGAGTGCCTGTTCATCGACGTTGTCCGTCGCGGCATGCAGCTATCCAGAGAGCAGGTGTTGGAGGAGTTGAATGCTGTACATCCGGACATGGATCTTCAGATGCTGGAACCCTTCCCCAGAGCAGGGGTACGTGATGCACCTGATTTTGCAAATTCTAGGAGAACAGGGCCTGTTATATGGGGTACGTGGATTTTTTTCTTGAAAAATCTGCCGTTTTGTTTAACGAGTAGTTCTATGCCTGCCTTTGGCAAAGGAACTTTGCAAAGAAAGCACTAGAGTCTCAGGTCCAGGGTGTTTTGTTCTTATATGAATCTGTGAATACCAGCAGCCCCGCTACAACTTGTGATAAGTCCTGCTGTGTGTACACTCTTCAGTGTGCTGTGCTGTGGTGCCAGTACGATGTCCCTCTTTGTCTTAAGTGATGCATTGTTTTTGACAGCTGCTGGGCCGCCTGATCAATGGCGCCACCCATCCGGATGCCCGCCGGCCAGAGAATGGCTTCGACCTGGTCTCGTTTGAGACGCTGGCCTGCTGGGCCCGTAGCGACTGTCGCCTGGACATGGCTGCGCTCGACGACCTGATGTCCGCCCTGGCTCGTACCAGACCCATGTACACGCACCGCCTGCTGCAGGTCAGTGGTGTTTGATGACGCTAGACCTGAACAATCAGCACGTACAATCTAAGAAGCATGCATAAATCGCTTAACCCAGCATGTGTGCTGTGTGTAATCCTCTAGAAAGCCTCGGCTTCGGCCAATTGTCCTTGTCGATTTCATTCATCAGGCGGTGCTGAGGTGGGCAGCGATGGCACAGCGGCGTCGCGCCTTCTTTTCGTTGCGTTTGGCGGTTGTTTTCAACCATTGTTGGAAATATACGTCTGGTTCACTTTGATGCGCCTGATAATTGTGTACGATGTAGATGTGAATGGACGTCTGCAAGGTGACGTTCTGATCTCATCTTTGGTTCACAGAAGTATCGAATTCGTACATGGCCCGCAGTCGAGGGCTGGGCGTTGCGTCCAAGCTTGTGTCAGAAAAAAAACACGTGGCGATACAACGGGGGAATCTGATGTGACCTTATTTTCACTGCTTTCCGTCTGCAGCAATTCGTCCAGGCTAACGACATATTTCTGGCGGAGAACGAGAGGCGTGGCTTGGAAGTACTCATGAAGCACTTCAAGAGGATGTACAAACGGCTGGCGCTCTCCCTGGATGAACAAGAGGCCAAAGTCCAGGAACTGGTAAGAAAAATGAACTCGATTTGATGAAATTGCCAATGCGTGAAGTTACTCCTGTAGCTTCTCACCAACGTGATGCGGAAGCATGCGTTTGCGTAGTCGTGTGAGTGGTGCATTTGGGTTCCGTGGTGTTTGTGTCATGTTATGTTGTGCATGCATGTCGGTCAGTTAAGTGTACGTCTTTTTGCGAGCGCACCTTAAAATGCTGAATGCTAAATGCCGCTGGCTAAATGCCGCTGTGGAACATGTTTAATCCCATGTCTAAGCATCATCAGCATACAAATATGATGCAGATGTGCTGTTGTTTCGTCGTTTTGCGCGTGTGAGTTTTTGTTTCAAGGATTTGTGGATGCCCTATTTTCTCTCTTTATTGTTCTTGGTTTGGCTGATGCTCGGTACTGTCACTCAGCTCATTTGTTTTCATTTATGTTTTGTGTCACGCTTCTCATGTTATACCATGCCCCTCAATCATCTCCCGCGGTTGTGTGCAACGCCGTCAGTATTTTCATCGGTGTTGCAGGTGAACCTCCGCGCGGCGGACCGAGCAGCGGGCGACTATCCGAGGCAGTTGGGCGTCGGTGACGTCGTCACGTACGGCGACGGGCACCTGGCTGTGGTGTACGGCTGCTCACCATACTACGAGGTCTCACAGGTATGAGCGGTTTAAATGAAGCTACAGGATCAGGCCAGTCCATGTCTGACCCCATTTGTACTGTTTTGTAAGAAGTTGGTCTAGTTACGTGGCAAAGCCTGAGAAGTCAACTCGACTTTTTGGTTGTTTTGTCACTTCTTCCACAGCAAGGCAGTCGCTGAATGCCTTGTAAATATTTATTTGTGTGACTAGTGGTTGCCTTATTTTACTACCAGTGATCTTTTTTTGAAAGAGGGGATATGGAATGTCTTCAGCATGTTGGGTTATAATGTATCTAATGCGGTCAATTATGGTTTTGCGATGTCCTGTCTGCCTTTCACATAATTCGCTTTCAATGCATGCATTGCTGTATCATATATGTGTCTCTGTTTCATACAGACATGTTGCATTTGTGTCATTCTTTCATTCTGGGTTTTTCCCCTTCTTGATTGGTAGTAGAAATCGGTGCATCAGTGATGGGCATGTAGGGTACCAATTTGCCACGGATGTCACTTGAATTTCTTGAAACTCACTTGACACGTGAAAGTTCCTTACCAGCATTTCCACGAAGCCTCACAGTTTGCCCTCGCTCTCATCTTCTACGGCGGCCACGTGGTGTGAGTTATTGTGTTGACTCGGGGTTGGTGGTGTTTGCAGGACTGGATAGCACATAGTCGCGCCTGCTCCGGACTTCAGCGGGGAGAAAAGCAACCTTTCTACAACTTGCTGATGGAGGGTGACCGTTTCGGATGCATGGCTGAAGGTGAGCAGGCTCCCCGAGTAAATGTTGTGCACTGATTCGGAGTACATTACACTGACATCCCACCAGTATGTCAGTTATGAGCAGAGCGCTGGCATATTTTGTTTGGGTGCATTGGACCAGCTTTATGCACTCCACAAAGCTGCTATGTTGAGTTGACTATTGATGATGTCTACATGGCAGCTTTCGGAATATCTGCTCTGGTTCGTATTCATTGCTATTTCATGAGTTCCAATATTTCTACATTACACAGCCAAACTGTACGTTGCACTACGTGGTGCAGCCCACGCCCCTAGCTGCCGCTGAAAAAATATTGTTGGGCTGTCTACAAATCACAGCAACTTGCAATATGTCTTGCACCCATTCTTGTGTAGAGCGCCCCTTCTGTCTGCCACTAACAGAAGTGGATGTATCATTGCAGAGGAGCTGCAACTGGCCCCAGATCCCCAGCCTATCGATCATCAGGAAGTGGGACGCTTCTTCACCCGGTTCGACGGGGAGCGGTACGAGCCGATCGCTCCGCTGGCCATTCTCTTCCCCGAGCCGCGGCGTGAGCATGAGTCAAAAACGAGCTTCGTGGAGTCTCCGATAGATGGCAGCGACAGCGACTGGGAAGACGACGTCGAGGATGAAGAGGAAGAATGGAGACGGGCACCTCCCACAGTGTGGATGGGCGTTTGGCCAGAGATCCTTCCCGAGGACTCAGATGATGAAGAGGACACTGATGATGTTGCCGTGGCCGGTGACGGTGGCCCGGTGGACCACTGATGGGTGCGTTGAATTGTGCGGAAAATCACAGGGGTTTTCTGAATACCTCAGCTGCCTCAGTAACTCTGTATGGCTGTACATATGTGCATATTCGTGTGCAGGTGTTTTGTTTGCATCTAACCCATGGCATTTCACTGTGATTTGTCACGCTGTATTGACGCCTTTTATCCCAGTCAGTCGGTGCTTGCAGACATAACGTCATGATGCTGTTTCTCAGGTGCCTTCATTTGTATGTGATAGTTTTTGTGCCATCGGTTGTTTATTTCATGCCGGCTTGAGAAATATGTGCATGTGCCACCTGTACATTCGTTTGTATCATGAGTGATATGTGACGAATGATTTCGTACCTGGCATGCAGTGGTGGCTGTGCGAAAGCTCATCAGTGATATTTCGTCAATTGTTAAGGCATTGAAATGTGTCCATTGCTTTGTTCATATCTATGCTCAGGCATTGGAATGTGTTCATTGCTAGGTCATCATGGGCTATTGCTTACATACCTGTGATATGTTTTCAAGTCTTGTGCCTTCATTAACGCTGATAATTGTGTCCTGTTTATCTACATTTATCGGCGGTGGATAGGCAATTGGTGATTGCGGATGTAACGTGATCATCCTGTTTCTCAGGCCCCTACAGTTGTATGTGATAATTTTCTGTGCCATCAGTTTGGTATGTAATACGAGCTTTAGAAGTATGCGCATGTGCCATTTCTACATTCATCTGTATGATATGAGTGATATGTTACGAGTGATTTCGCCCTTGGCTGTGGGAAGGCTCATCAGTGATGTATAGTCAATTGTTTAGGCGTTGAAATGTGTTCCTTGCTGTGCCTTAGGGCTTCGTGGGCTATTACTTGCATAGCTGTGATATGTTGTAAAGTCTTGTGCCTTCATTTTCGCCGATAATTGTGTCCTGTACATGCACATTTGCCGGTGGTAGGTACCACGTGCCGTTGGTAACGCAGTTTTACAAAGGAGCGACTTCGGGCTTTGCGTGCGTCATATGGCACGAAGCCCTGCAAGATGTGTAACCATGTGTATATGCGTGCGCAATATACTAATAAATCGATGTCATTTTTCCTGAGATGAATGCAAGGCGGATTTCAATACACTGAAGGCCCTTTTTTATAAGCAGTGAGACAGCACCGACATTGCTCATGACCTATGATGCGGTGCGTCAGCATGGATTGCTTTCCATTATGTTTGACATGAATTCCTGAAAGAATTACGTCGGGCTTCGGTAATTTTCAACAAGCAGAAGTGCATGGCGAAATTACTGGCACGTGCGGGGCCTCACAACTCGCATTACGAGCGGTGACGCAGGCCCGGTAAACTTCGCTGGCCAGAAATCACATGTCTTTGGCGCCTTTGCCGGTTAAGTGCTTATTTCATTTTGAACGTGCACATATCGTTGCGACCAGATGTCCGAGCGTGAGGAAAAATGCGAACAATTCAAAAGAAAGAAATAGTAGGCACTCATGTATGTGACTACGGAAAGTTTGCGCCATGGCAAATGGCATCAGGCTACCTGTGACCATCGCCCCAGTCGGATCGCACGTTACGTGCTCCTTCCACCCGCTTGATCCCCTTATACGCTGAGGGAGTGACCGGCCAAAACCAGTGAGAGAGTCCGCGACCCACCACTGACTGGTGACTGACAAGTGACTTCCATTAGGATGGACAAGGCCATCAAGAGAGCGGTGATCGACGCGGTGAAGCAGGGAAACCGCCTGAATTCTGTTAATGAGCAGGTGACGGCGACCGTGGCCAAAGCTGTGGTCGATAAGGATGAACAGTTCAAACAGCAGGGGCCTGGGGCTGGGGGAATAGAGGAAACCAAGCGTAAACTAAATGACCGAAGCATTGCCCAAGACGTCTCCGCCTTCACACGCGCCCGGGTAGCCGGCTACATAACCTTCGCTCGGGTGGGTGGTCATTTTGAGCGCCCCCTGAGATCTCGGGAACTTAGACAGCTAGAGATACCGGACTAACGAGGCGTGTTGACCTGTACGCTAAGTCACTCAGGTCAAAGTTTCAGGTTCCTAAGTCATGACCTTCGTGTTAAAAAGGTGAAGCAATATCAAGTTTCAGTGTCAGAGGGAGGGGGGGGGGGGGCGAATACATTGTGTCCCCTGCGCACTTAGTCACGCTGCCAAGCGCATCGTCACGAGAAAGAACCGCTTTTTGCGCTTTGACGACATTGCCCCAACGGACCCGATCTGTAGGCAGCGTCACCTGTAGGCGGCAGCACCACCGTAGTTAGCGCCACCACCGTAGGTGGCGTCATCTACAACTCCGCGCAATTCGTGCCGAGCTACGTTAGCGGGCCAAGGGCACGAGCCAATGCTGGCTTTAGGGCACTAGCAAAACGGGAACATTTCATCAGTTTGCCCGTCACAAAAATCATGCGCTGAAGTGAAAATCCAGAGTGAAATCATACGTGTAAAACAAAATAGCAACACATGATTTACCAAGTGCAGCCACAGAAATCGTGACTGATGGAATACTGACTCTTTAATTCGGAACAAACGTGATGCACAACGCTAGGAAAAACTGGGCTTAGCTTCCCCGTACTGGAGATCACTGGTTAAGAGAGCATTTGCTAACTACGGGACCACAAAGTTGTTTTGTTGATCAACGAAGTGATTAAATGCGTTTAGGTTTGCGTGTGTATTATCTGCACTGATGATCACGGTCCAAATTTATCTCATCCGAGACAAAATTAACAATTCATCGAAAAATCTTAGCTGTACTAGTTAAAAGGAAGGTGCCAGATTTCATGAGATTGAAGCAACCATCACATAGGATGCAATCAACATGCTTATAATCATCAGTGTGCTTTTAAGTGGCAGCGGCTGATACGGAGTGGCATAGACCGCTCTAGATAAGAAAACTGTTATATCTGGTAACTGTTCTTTTCAGTGCGTCATTCTTTCATTGCATCGTGGAACGTTTGTGTGACGTTGACGTGCTGTCAAATGAGCCATGCGAAATTACCACTCGTAGTATCTCGAACTCGTTGAGAGATGGCAGCACTGGCGCATTTTTCACTTATCGACCACAGCTTCGGCCACGGTCGCCGTCACCTGCTCCTTGACAGAATTCAGGAGGTTTCCCTGCGTCACCGCGTTGATCACCGCTCTCTTGATGGCCTCGTCCATCCTAATGGAAGTCACTTGTCAGTCACCAGTCAGTGCTGAGCCGCGGACACTCTCACTTGGCTCGGCCGGTCACTCCCCCGGCGTATAAGGGGAGCGAGCGAGTGGACGGAGCAGGTAACGTGCGATCCGACTGGGGCGGTGGTCACAGGTAGCCTGATGCCACTTGCCATTGCCCAAACTTTTCTTAGTCATAAACATGAGCTTACATGAGCATGACGTGACATGACATGACAAACATGAGCATTTGTTTCTCTTAAATTTTTTGCATTTTTCCTCTCGCTCGACATCTGGTCGCAACGATATGTGCACGTTCAAAATGAAGTTAATTCTTAACTGCCAAATGAGCTGAAGCCATGTGATTTCTGGCCAACGAAGTTTACCGGGCTTGCGCCACCGCTCATAATGCGAGTTGTGACGCCCCGCACGTGCAAACAGTTTCACCATGCGTGACAACTTCCGCTTGTTGAACATTACGGAAGTCCGACGTATTTCCGCCGGCAGTACGGTAAAATTAATTTTAGTTGAATTGAAATGTCAAGATTTAAAAGTCACCCTCGCACTCATGACAACATAAGAGCGTTATTCAAATTGTATCAATTCGCAAGCCATACGGCAATCAGGGTCGAGAGAATACAGTTGTCGAGGAGTTTATATCTGGCGTTTGTGAGCGCGTTTGTAGATATAATGGCCGTCAATGGACGCTCAACCCATGTTGTGCAATATATGATGACGTAATCAAACTATGAAGCATTCAGGAAAATATTTACTAGAGATAATTGTACTGTCTGGAGCAGTCTTTTGCATTTAAAAGTATACGTCAAACGTATAAAACGCGTTATAAAACGCATATGCGCGCATAAAACGTTAGTTATAAGTGGCGTGGTTTCATCATGTCTGATGATTGCTCCAGTATGTTCAAATGTGAAACACTCCTTCAAGACCGCCGACCTAGATCATGGCCGGTCAAATTTACCCCGTGAGTATCAGTGAACGCAACATCTAAGGACTCGTTCAATGTCAGGCCAAAACGAAGGAATCGGAATCGTTCTAAAACTAAGGAATCTAAGGAATGGTTAGAAAACTAAGGAATCGTTCCATCTGATGAAACAACGGAGTAGTAAGTGAAGCCGTACATCTCGGAGATAATTTCTTATGCAGCATAACACTCAAACTGATGAATTTCAATAGCGTAGGGTCAAGGACAAAGGTTAGATCAAGGCAACAAATAACCTGCTTGTTGCCGCAACTCAATGTATGGGGTAGTTTCTGGTGCTTATTCTCATGTTGTTCAGAGCAAGAACCACGTTATGCATCTACTATAGGGCTCTTTAAGTTCAGGAAAAATGACGTACCTTAAAATCCCGGGTGAGCATTTTGTTTCTAAGAACGTATCGCCTAGCATAATCCTTGATGACTACTTAACTGCAAAAATATACGGAGTCCCTAAATATTTGCTCATATCTACGCTTTACGGATAGAAAGCGGTCATTGAATGTAAGAGTGTACTAGATGCCGTTTGTTTGGGACCAGCATCATCTGGATTCACAGTGGTTGCATGAGACGGTCGTGGTGGGAGGGGGGCGGGGGGAATTTCAGTGATCCGTCCGAAACTCGACATTTTTTATCCTGTTTGACCAATAATGTCATGATCTAAGAGGCTTAGTTTTACACTTTTGAGTTCACGTACAGCTGACCTTGTGAATTTTGTGAACCCACGTAACTTGTGAATCTTTTGTCTTTAGCGTTTTTGCTCTCTGAGATCTCAGGGCAGTCAAATTGACTTGCCAGGATGAAAAAATGTCGAGTTTCGGACTGATGACTGAAATTCCCTCGCCCCCTCCCACCAAGACCGTCTCATGCAACCACTGTGAATCTAGATGATGCTGGTCCCAAACAAACGGCATCTAGGACACTCTTACATTCAATGACTGCTTTCTATCCGGAAAGCGTAGATATGAGCAAACATTTAGAGACTCCGTATATTTTTGCAGTGAAGTAGTCATCAAGGATTATGCTAGGCGATACGTTCTTAGAAACAAAATGCTCACCCGGGATTTTTAGGTACGTCATTTTTCCTGAACTTAAATAGCCCTATAGTAGATGCATAACGTGGTTCTTGCTCTGAACAACATGAGAATAAGCACCAGAAACTACCCCATACATTGAGTTGCGGCAACAAGCAGGCTGTTTGTTACCTTGATCTAACCGTTACCCTTGACCTACGCTATTGAATTTCGTCAGTTTGAGTGTTATGTTGCATAAGAAATTATCTCCGAGATGTACGGCTTCACTTACCACTCCGTTGCTTCATCGGATGGAACGATTCCTTAGTATCGTCTTCGCTGATCCGTGTCCCGATTTCGACAGCCGTAGGTCAGCAGCCTTATAAGGTGCAACTAAATTGCTGACACTGAACAACCCGCTATTCAACTGTCTACTATTACGCAAATTTTGGAGCGGCTACGCCACGCTGGGCAGGAATCATACCGGAAAACATCTGTGGAGGGGAGGGGGTGAAACACACCGGCACCCAAGCGCATGTTAATCTGCACCCGGCTAGCCAGGTGAGCACCACACGCTCGTATTGGGTCAATGCCATTCTCTAAAACATCAGAAACTACGAAGACTATAAGAACCAATTTCACAAGATAGGGTTGTTTGTAAGCAAACTAAATTTTGTCACACTTTCAGGACCTTAGGCCATACCTTCGGGTTGAACAAGATCAAACGATGCTTAACTCCGGATCGGTGTTAAAGGTATCACCACAACTCCTTATGCAAACGCCTTAAACCTAAATACCTGTCCTGAGTAAAGCGTAGCTGGCATTCAGTTCAGATCTGGGGCCTTGTTTAACCTTTCGATGGTCATGGTGACCGAA